GCTCCATCTGAAACTTTCTCTTGAGGAAAATGACTGCATTCATTTAACTAACACAGAGTTCATTTTAAGAACTCGGTTGATATAAATATGTGTGCATTTGAAGCACAGGTAGAAATGTGGTGGGTCTTCTGGAAAAAAAGACTTTATAAAAATTACTTGGATTTGCTTTTTGATATTTTAAAAACTTCTGAATTTCAACTTGACTAGATTAAGTTTATATTACAATCATGATGTACAGTATATTCATTTACTCCCAGTTAGGGCATCCTATTTTATTCTTGCTTGTTACATAATCCCTTCCATATTGCTCTTTCTGATTGACTGTTAGGTTATGCCAAATTCATTTAAGGAAGATCTATGGGTTTCATTTACCAGTTTCAAGACCAAGTGATTGGGTTACTCTGATCCCCAGAATGTTGCTTAGCTAGCTTCAGAAGCAATATAATTTCTAGTCTAAAAATACGTGGTTTTAAAATATACTTAAAACGTGTCTCTAAGATTTTGCTCTATTATTAGGGCATTTGCTAGGGTAGTGCCAACGTGTTTATGGGTATTTTTTTCTCAGAGGCATAATTGAAGCTGTAGCATATTATTTTATTAAGGCACAGAGAAGTCTATTATCTACCTAATACCATTATCAGAGAACTTCAGGAATTTTTTTTAAATGATACTATTCCATGTGGTCATAGCCCAGGAATATTCTACTGGAAGTTGTAGAATCCTGGGACTGATGTCAAGGTATCCTGTTGTGTGGGATCCTAGAGAAATCATCAGTATTTTTTCTATTTCCTTGAGAGACCATTCCACAAACATAAACTTCTTACCATCAAAGGATGTATTCTGATATTCAACCTAAATTTCCTTTTCTTAACTTTATCCCTTGATAATTTTCGTATCTCCAGCCAAAATTCCTCTTTACCCTTGGTGTTTAGACTTCCGAGCTATCTGTAGATTTTTATCATGCCTCTTTTTTTCTGACTCTGTGGTTTGGCTGTACTACAAAGTTCATATTTTGCTTTAAAATCATCATTGTTGATGATCTTCTCTGGCTTTCCTCCCAATACTTATTCCTTTTCAGACCTGAGGTCCAATACTCCAGGTTAGGATAACCTATTTTGCCTTTGTTTGTTATATAATTCCATTGCTTAAATAGTTCCAAATCACTCTGATTGAATACCATATAACATTTCAAACTTATATCTGATTGGCTCCCAAATCTCAGCATCACTGATTTTTGTTTCATCCTGCCCATGTCTCTCAAATTGATTGTGATCCCTCTGATATAATTTCCCTGTTCTCAGTGGGTAAACAATTCATACCATCTCGCCCATAGAAGTCAAGTGTTCTATTTCCAAGCTCCTAAAACATAACAAAAGGCATCATTTTCATCTATGTGACATGGACTATACTAGAAAGGTATGGAGAACTTTTACAGGACTTAAGAGTGCTAACTACAATAGCCACACAGCCCCATGGTTAAATTACTTCTTGATTTTACACTAGGAATTTTTCAAGCTGAACTAAGAATGCTTCTTTAGATTGTTATTCCAGAATGTATTCTGAATGACTACAGCTGCCAAAGCATTGAAACTGCACTCAGTGAATGCCCATGGAGGTAAACCCAAAGATTTTTTTATTAGTCCTATAGTTTTTGCCTTCTATTAATGTATATACCACCGTGCCAGCTCTAGGTTTCATCCCCAGCTAGCATCAAAATTTTAAAAATCCAAATGACTATTGCTATTCATCTCTCTCATTCCCCATCCCACTCGTTGTGCCTAATTTCACCATCCCACACCAACTGTGACTTTAAAAATATCAAATTCAATGAAGAGAAAAAACTCCTGTCTCTGTCAGAATCTGCATTGAACACACAAAAAAAGGCACCTGGAACACTGTGTATTTTCTCATTTTCTATGTGAACATTAGCTTCATATCTGCTTCTTAGTGTTTATTGACTTATTCTGGACCAGTGGTGGCGAACCTATGGCACACGTGCCACCATGGGCACTCAGAGCCCTCTACAGACACACAAGCCAAGACACTTCAGCCACAGCAGCCCAGTATCAACGATTCAGATTTAATAGCACAGTTGGCCCTTTTTGATAAATAAGCAAGTTTTGTGTTGCAGTTTGGGGACTTGGTCTCTAAAAGGTTCGTCATAACTATTCTAGACTTTAGACAACAGGAGTTTCCCATAGGCATACTTTTCACTTACATGTTTATTTCTTGAGCAGATATGAGTAGTGTTTCTAAATATCAACTTGGTCCCCACGTTAGCAGGACTGGTAAAAAGTAAGGGTGTCTAAGAATCTTAAACCTAGTTGCAATATGGATGTGGTCAGAGGGCCCAGGGCCATTCGTGAATCAAACCATTGTTACTGTTTAGGGGGCTACCAGGGATCGAACTTGGGACCTTGTGCTTGCAAGGCAGGTGGTGGCACCACGGCCAGGCTAAATCCCTGACTGTAGCTATGGTATTTGAAAGAAGTTTCCAACATCAAATCACAAATCCATGACAATCATTACTTTTGTTGCTGTCTTTGAAACTTGACCTCAAGAAACTGAGGAAATACAAGAGGAAGAAATGACAATCATAAATATATATGCACCAAATACTAATGACCCAACTATACAAAACAAATATTAATGGATATGAAAAATGAAATAAGCACTAATACAATTGTAGTGGGGGACCTCAATACTCCACTGACACAAATAGGTCATCTAGACAAAAAAATCAACAATGGAATAACAGAACTGAACCAAGTCTTAGAACAAATGGACTC